GGCACCATCATCTTTCTTCACCACATTTGCTTATTCACCCGCTTTGTCTTCAGTGATTGTGTCAGGAAGGTGAGCATCATAGAATACCAATTTAATAGAAGAAAGTATTCTTGCATTGAGGGAGTACTTGAGTGGAGGCCCAATGGAGGACAAATCTTATGTTAACTCACTTATATAAAAAGATAACAACTGGCTAACATATCACCTCTACTATCAAGTCAATTCAGACTCAGAGTGACCCTCTAGGACAAGGAGAAATGCTCCCTATTGTTTTCAAGACTGTAAAATTTTATGGTGATAAGCAGGCAACCTCATCTTTCTCTTGAGGTCCGAAGGCAACACTTAAAAACCTTTACACCACTTAGGCTCATTAGGCAAATATATAGAAATCAAAATTTACTAGTTTGGTGCATAGTGCCTGGCATCTTAAAAGCTTGTAAGTTGCCATCCAAAGTACAACAGTTGGTCTTCATTTGCGTGGGATATCAGAGAGTGAAGGAGAGGTAGGGGCGGGGAAAGGATATAGAACAGGTAACCAATGGCTTTCATGAATAACCACCTTCTTTGCCATGAGGCCAGAAGAACTAGATGGTGCCGAGCTGCCTTACTGAACATGCACTTTAAGATTCTGTAGAATAACCTTGATCAAAGAGAGTAAATGCAGATCAGACTTTAAAATTCCCACAGAATCCAGCAATTCTGGAGCCATAAAGGTTGGATGAACCCCTGAAAATTGACCCTGACAATCTTTAAATCTTAAACCAAAAATATCCACTGGCATCTTCTTAAAACTAAACCCAAATAGTTTAGCTTGAACTAGTAAAGAATGTCTGCTCTGAGCATTGTGCTCTTTTAAGATCCAAGTATAAGGGATTGAATTGACAACACTAAATAGAAAGATTAAGTCTGGAGGCATATGAGTTATGGATTGGGCTGCTAACAGCAAGGCCAGCAGTTCAAACCCACCAGTTGCTCCGAAGGAGAAAGAGGAGGCTTTCTGCTTCTGTAAAGATTTTCAGCCTAGGAAAGCCAAAAGGACAATTCTAATCTGTCTTATAGGGTCACTCTGAGTCAAAATCAACTTGATGATAATGAGTTTGGTTTGGGTTGTTGGTAGTGTGAGATAAGCATTTGGCTAATAACTGCCAAGTGATCAGTTCAAGACCACCAGCTGTTCGGCTGTCTGCTTCTGTAAAGATTTACAGTCATGGAAACCCTATATAGGGTCACTATGAGTTGGAGTTGACTTTTAAGTAGAGAGAGCAGATAGGAAACCTACCCACTCAATCATAGATTCAAGCATAAATGAGAAGTTGGTGCAGACTCGGGTAGCTGGATGTTCGTTATACGTCAGGCATAGACTCTACTGCAACTAACAAAGCACACAAAAAAGATTTCACAATCAGAAATGGGAGTTTCGGTTCCTCTTAGTCCTAACAGTGATATTATCACTGTGATCTTGAGAAGCAAGCTCTGGGGGTGCAATGGTGAAAGCACCCCCACCAGCCATTCTGTGGGTTGGTGGTCTGGTGGGTGTGCGTGGACAAGATGTGACTGTCTGTTTCTGCGAAGATTTGCAGCCTTGGCAACACTATGGGGCAGTACTACTCTCTGTGTAGTGTCGCTGTGAATTGGAATTGACTAGAGGGCAGTGAGTTTGGTTTCCTCTTTTGCTGATCTTGGAATCTTTCTGACCCCCAGTTTCTTGTTTGTAAAACGGGGACAGTAATGGTAGGTTCCACTGAGGACTGCTGAGGATTAAATCAGTCAATACATGTAAAAACACTTATATCAGTGCCTAGCACACAACATGGCTTATAAATATCAGCTGTCTTTATGTTGTTAGGGAGCCAAAGTGGCTGAGTGGGTACCCATTGGGCCACAAATCAAAGTGTGCAGTTGGAAACCACTAGCAGCTCAGCAGAAAAAAGACGAGACTTTCTACTTCCGTAAAGATTTGGTGTCTGAGTCCATGTGGAAGACACACATCAGCCTGTGTGATCCAAGGATGATAAATAATAAAATCCAAATCTGAAGGAGGGAATGGTATTACAGCTTAAATTGTGAACACCTAATTTGCAGAAAGCTAGGGATGACAGTGCCATTTGCAGGGTCCTACATGGATTAAACCTCTGGTGAATCCCTATGACCATGGTTGAGGGATGTGAATAACCTGGCTATCAGACAGACTACTGGCAACTTGATTATGGCAGATATAATTAGGCTAAAATGTAATACCAGATCATTTGATCTCTCTTTTGACCCATTTTATAATTGTTTTAGTTTTTAATATTTCCTGCTTTATACTTGACAGAAGTTTTTTCCTGT